AAAAAGAAGGAAGTGCACTTGCCAGCTTCACCGCGATAGCGCCCAACAGCACGACCATGGACCAAAGAAGTCCGGGAAGTCCGTTGCAGGGCGTGACGCATGTGCCGGTGGAGCCGCTGAGCGACCCGCCACAGTTGAACGAGAAGGGCGGTGACGCGTTGGACGTGGGCGGCGGCGACAACGGCGACGACGCGCACCACCGCACGAGCGAGGTTGGGGACGACGAGCACCAGAGGTTCGCGGACCCGTCAGGGATCAGAGTGGGGAAGTATAATATCCCGCCCCGTGTGGTGGCGCCGGTGTGCGTGGTGGCCATTGTCGGGGTTGCCGTGCTTCTCACCTTCACGACGCCGGTGGTGAACGCGGACCCGCGACCGTGGGACCACATCTCGGCGTGGATCGGCTGGGTTTACTTCCTGGCGTGGGGGGTGTCCTTCCTGCCGCAGCTGTACTTCAACATGCGCCGGTGGAGCGTGGTGGGGCAAAGCTTTGAGTTTGTTTTCCTGAACGCCGTGGGGTTCACGTGCTACTCGACGTATACGCTGTGCTTCTACTCCAACGATGCCGTAAAGGAGATGTACAAGCATCGCTACAACGGGTCAACTAACACAGTGGCTCTGAACGATGTCGTGTTTGCGGTCTATGCATTGGTGTGTTGCCTCTTGAATTGCCTGCAGATTGTCTTTATGGACCGCGGCGGCCAGAAGTTGAGCCGCTTCGCGATTGCACTCATCGGCGTGATAATTTTTGTCGTTGTGCTGTGGACCTGCCTTATTGCGGGAGGTGTGAGGCACTCCGCCGTCTTCAACTACCTCGACCTCTTGTACGGCCTGAGTCTGATCAAACTGGGCATCAGCATTGTGAAGTACCTGCCGCAGCTGTACCTCAACTATAAACGGAAGTGCACGATCGGGTGGAACATCTGGAACATTCTGCTCGACTTTACGGGTGGCGTCCTCAGCATTCTGCAGCAGGTGATCGACAGTGCGGTGACGAACGACTGGGTCGGCATGACAGGCAACCCCGTGAAGTTCGCGCTCGGCTCTGTTAGCATCTTGTACGACATCGTCTTCATCCTGCAGCACTTCGTCCTGTACGCCGATAACAACAAGAAGTTTGCGGAGCCGGTACACGAGCGGACGCAGGAGGCAGGAACGCCGGGGGGCGGAGACAGGGACGAACGGTCCAACGGGTTGGGGAAATCTAACGACACGACCAGAGCATTCTGAGTGCCTGCCGCCACTGCGGTTCTGTGCCACGACGAGGTAAGCAATGCGCAAAACGAAAAACACTGTTTTTGTATTTTTTATGAACTAAGAATACAACCACGTAAAGCACATGGTGGAAAGGGTCGGGTTGACTGTGACGTGGAGAAAGCGAGTTTCTTTTTTTTTTTTAGCATGGAGGGAAGCCTTTTAATTTTCAGCCACATTGTGCTTTGTTGTTTGTCTCTTGTCAGTTGTGTTTATTTATTTATATGGCGGAGGCCGCAGAGAGCCGTTCCCGTGTGGCGGCTCCTCCGCCTGCCGCGTCGCCAAAATTGCCAGCATCGCGGTCTGTGTCTTGTGTGCTTCTCCCAATATCCACGCTTGCGTGTGGATGTAGTGGGGGGGGGGCGCGACAACGAGAGCTGCCTTGCGGCCACCACGTGCAACGAAGGGTGTAGAATACATTTTGTGACGAGCTTAATTGGGGAGTCCCGAAATTTTTTTAGCACATCAAAAATATAAGCGTTATTTCCTCCAGACACGTACTTATGCAAGTATGAATCTGCATATGCACATCAGTATATGCATATGTATTGAAAATGATTCACCTGCTTTTTTTGTTTTTTTTGTTGTTTTTGTTTTGTTTTGTTTTTATGCCTCGCCTTCCCCCCGCCCATGGTGTTGCTCGACGCTGGAAGAAGAAAAAGAGCAAAAGAAACGCCGTTCTTTTCTGCTCCTCTGCCCCTCTACATGCGTGTGTACGGGCATGCGGCTCCGTCCCCACTTCTCCCATCGCTGCTGGGACATGTCGATGTGGCTTCCTTCCTCCCGCCTTTGTCGCCTTTCTTGTCTTTCCTCAGGAACCCGCAGTGGAGAAGGGCGGCATGCTGCGGGCACTCTCCCGGCCCTTGGGGATCTTTGGGCGCACCCCCTCCGAAAATGACGCTGGCGGCGTGGCTGCCGCACCGCGGCGGCCCCCGCTGAGGAGCGAGGAACGACCGCCGGGGGTTGCGCCGCGTACCACGAAGGACTCGGCGAACCTCGCCGCTTGCATACACCGCCACGGCGGACCGTCGGGAGGGAGGGCGGTGGGTGCGCTGTTGGGCGCGGACACGACGCGTGGGCGCGGCGGGCGCGGTCGCGGGCAGTGTGCCCCAACGTTATTGGACGGCGGCCTGCCCACACAGACATCCGCACAGGGGTGGGGCGTCGCCACCGTCAATCACCCGTCCACGGAAGCCATACGGCGATACCGCCAGAGTTTGCCTGCTGCGTCCCGCAGTCGTGTCCGGCGCGTTGCGCGTGTGCCCGTCGGTTACTACCGTGCGTCGCACCATGGCGGGAGCGTCTCAAGCCAGCCGGTGGGATTTCGCCTCCGCGTGGAAGATGACGCCGGCGGCAGCAAATGGGAGGATTCCCTGTCGTCGCATGGAGGCTCGACGGTGACAGTGCGGCCTTGCGTTGCGCCCCTCCGCCGGCACCGTCCGCTGAGTGAGGATGCGAAACTTAGTGGTCCCGGCCAAAGCG